AGAAACAGAAATAGAACTGACATAATAAAGTGATGATTAGATTTTAGATGAGGAGAGATCAAAGGAAAGGGGGTATTTTGTCAAATTCTAATTTATTTCTGTAAGGCCTCATCCCTTATTATAAGACGGTAAGCTCTTCATGGGCAGGAGTCATGCCATTTTTTCACATTTGTGCGCCTAGTGCCTAACCTAGTGCTTTGCATATTTCTTTTTCTATCTCCAAGTGAGAAAACTTCCTCTACCAATGCAGATCAGTACCTACTCTGCAATTTATAGTCTTAGATTCTCCCGGAACATTGAAAGGTTACATGATATGCCCAGCATCAGCCTCTATTTGTGGGTGTTTTAATTTTTGCGAAGTGGATTGAGTTTTTGAAATGAATTGAAGATGTACATTACTGTGTCTCTTACAAAATGCATAATTCCACAGAATAATAGTAAAGTACTAAGCTTTATTTTAAGTTCTACAAAATTGATCATCACAATACCCCTGTGAATGAGGCATGGAAAATGGCAAGATCTCTCATTTAGATGAAGAAACTGAGGTTCAGAGAACTTCTAAATAATTTTCCATAGTTATGCACCTGGTAAGTGTCAGAGCAGGACTCAAATTCAAGGTCTTCTGAGTTCCATTACTGGAAGTTGCCTTTTAAAAATCATTCCTTCTACAACCAAAGGAACTGCTATATATCCTTTAAGAACTTTTCTTTTTTCTTGAGGAAGAAAATCTATTTCTCTGTCTCAACTGCTTGCATAACCAGGCTAAGCCTGGGAGGGATGCAGAAAAGACAAGTACTTACTGGTAGTCCCCGGGGTCCTCGTGGTCCAACTTCCCCTTGAGGTCCTTGTTGACCCTGTTTTCAAGATGATAGGTAAATAGCAAGTTAGGAATAAATGGCCTTTTGCCTCCTGATGATAGAATTAATGAATTATGAAAAAAGAGAAACAATATCTCACCGGTTTGCCTGAATTTCCCATAGCACCAGGTACCCCAGGAGCACCTGTATTACCCTATGAGGTAAAGATAAGCAAAATTCAATCAGAACTAATTATCCAATCAATAAATTCACTAGCAAAACAAAAATAGAAGGGAAGCTTATATTAATTAGAATTAAATGGCATTAATTTGTTGATTGCTTCTCTAAAAATTAGGAGGTTGTAGAGGCTTGCCATCCTTCTACCCTTAGGACTTAGAATTCTGTAGCTAAGCCTAGAGCATGATATTCTGCTTGTTAGAAGTATTTAAAACAATAATAAAGGTTATAAACCTAACAGGAAATTTCATGGAGTCTCCCTTTACAATGTCCCCCACATCAGTCTTTTTTTTTAATCTTCTCCACTACCACTGCTCTAGATAATGCCCTTATGACCTAAGGCCTATAATGTTACAACAGCCTTCTAAAAGGTCTCCCTTGATGCCAATCTTTCCCTACTCTAGTCTAGCCTGCACACCACTATAAGTTAATTTTCTTAATATGCCATTGTGCTCTCATTATTCCCTTACTGCAAAATCTTCAGTGACTCTTCATTGCCAAGAGGATAAAACAAAAATTCTTTAGCCTATGATCCTCCACAGTCTGCCTCAACCTAATAATAATAATTGCTAACATTTATATAGCCCTTCAAGTTTTGCAAAGCACTTTACATATATATATTATCTCATTTGATCCTTATAATTCTGGGAGTAATAAATAATTTTATATTGAAATTTACATATATATGTCATATATTGTATACACATACATGTATACATACATATATGTATACATACATGTTGTATATGTGTACATAATATAGCTACATATATATAGTCAGAAGATCCTCATAACAACCTTGAAAGGTAGGTACCATTATTACTCCCATTTTACAGATAATGAAACAGAGGTTCAAAGAGTTAAGTCAAGAAGAATTTATCAATGTTATTTATTTGTTTATATTAAGGCTGTGACATGCCTAGGCTCCTATAGCTAATTAAGTATCTGAGACTGATTCAAACTCAGGTCTTTCTGATCCTAAATCCAGCACTTTGTTCACTTTGCTACATAGCCTATCTTATCTCTGACTATACAAACCAAACTCCCTTATATAAGCTACTCAGTTGTTACTAATAAGTATTATAATAACTTGCACTGCTAGAGCTTTCATGTCTATTTAAGAGCTGTCCCCACAACAACGCTAGAAGTTATGGAATATAAATATCATCCATTTTTCAGATGAAGGAAACCAAGAGACATAGAATGACTTGCCAGTGGCCACCAAGCTAATAAATGGTAAAGTTCAGATTTGAACTTGTTTCCCAACTATAAATAATCCAGGTTGTTTGCAATGTGCAAATTGGTCTATTACAGCTTCCAAGCGCACCTTGTGCCTTTTGTTTTCTGTTCCTTTTCTCACTCTCTAGGCGTGACATACTGGTCCTGCTCTCTTCACCATGTCCAACCCTACCTGGCCTTCAAGACATAACTCAAGTGCTCCTTCCTCCACGAATCATATCCAGCTTCTTCTAACCTACTATGATTGTTCTCTCCTCTTAACTCTTACATAACATTTGTCATCTAAATATTAAATCAATCAGTTATGTGCTGCCTTGTAGTTATTTAACTTATACCTTAACTTAACTTCTTGTATATTTAACTTCCTTATATGATTACTTTACTTTTTGTTGTTTCCCCATCTAGTATCATAGATCTAGGGCTGAAAGCTACCTTAAAGTTCATCTAGTCTAACTCCCTCTTTTTCCAGATGTGTAAACTGAGGCCCAGAGAGGTTAACAACTTGCCCAAGGTCACACAGGTAGAAAGTGGAAGAGCTAGAATTTGAACTCAGATGACTCTGAGTTCAGCACTACATGCCCAGTGCTCTTTCCACTGTATCATACTGCCTCCCATTAACTAGGAAGCTCCTTGAAGACAGACTATGGTGTATTTCTTTTTATCTCCTTTAGCTCCCAGGCTTTCAATAGATAGTAATTGGTTATTGATAAGTAGTAAATATTTGGTTATGATATTACTTGGATAAGTTAAGAGTTTGTGTATATGGGATTATCCATATTGAATGAGTCCTAAATCACAATGTCCTAACTAGAGCTGACAGAGTAACAAACAGGCACTAAGTTGTCTCTCGTGGTCTTTAAAGGGCAGAGAGAAACAGTACATGCCTTCTTATTCAAAAAGGTTTGTAAATATCTAGTGGGAGATTAGGGATGGCTGGTCATGAGATTCTTACTTTCTCCAACTCTTGCCCTTTGCAAAACCTCCATCCAACTAGGGCATTCTCCTATCTTCAACCCCTCAAAGGCCAGAATCTTACCAATAACCTTGTGAAAACTTATAGCTAGTTATCTTTGGCTATTTACAGATACAAAATCACATTCCCTAGGTCAGAGGACCTGAAATTTTTCATGATAAGGACTTACTTTCTGCCTTGCATGAAGGCTTCTGAGGAGCCAGGGTAGTAGGTGAAAAACTGGCACATCAGAGTATCCAAGGCTTAGTGGTAGATTTAAATTATTGATTGAGAAGATCTACCAGTAAGTCCCAAGGAGACGAGTGTAGCCAATAGCTACAGAGTTAAACATTGACAAATCTGGGTCTGCGATCAACCAGTTGGGGGCCTGGAAGGCAGTCACTGAACATTACAATCATTTGATCCATGATGGCTATGGAATTATGGCCTTAACTGAACCCAAGAGAAGCTTTTCTAGATTTCTATATTAATTTCATTTATTCCAAATCTAATTTCCATATTCCAACAAATTTCCATATTGTGCCATATTTATTTTTCTGATACTTTTTCATTAATTCTTTGGGGAAAAAAAAAACTTTGGATGGTACATTATCAGTGTTTAGTAAAGTAGATAAGCATACAATCTTATATCTGTATAAACAGCCACTAGCCACTTTAATGATATTCATTAGTATGGAGTACTGTAACTTAATGATCCTATTCTTTCAATGTAAATTGTACCGAGCAATCTATCTCTCTCCTTTCACAGTGTAAAAGGATAACATTTGCATTAGATGAGCACAAAAATCACAAGCAGCAAGCTTCTCTTCAAAATATTTCTGTTCACACATCTGAGAGAGATTTCATTATCTTCTTTATTCCTTTAACACCCTGCCTCTTATTTCTCCCCAATGTCAAATGCATTCAAGAAAGAGCTTTTACATTTTGCTAAGATACTTAACACCCTTGCCTTCTTCTTTCTCTCAAACGTCTAATGTATCATAAAAGTCAGGATTTAGAATCTAAGAAGTAGAAATATTCAAGTACCTTTTCACCAGCAACACCTTTTGCACCAGGAGTTCCAGGTAAACCCTAAAAGAACGTACACAAAATGTGATCAAATGTATCATCTGAATATCTGCATGGATTTCCCTAATTTTACATTGACATATCTGAAGACCACTGTAAGGTATCAAAAACAATTCACACTTTTTTAATATTTAACCATAAGAGTCAGATTTGTGCTACTCATTACAGCATGCGACAGGATGGCTACTCAAATTTCAAAGTGAATTCTTTTGGTTTTCCAATACCACCTTATTATATTTGTCTTAGTCCTCACTAATTGAAGCATGAACTTAGTGCCATATTGAAGCAACTGGAAGCAGAGTAATTTCCATAATTTTAATATTTCTTTTTTCCCATTTACATATAAAAACAATTTTTAACCTTTTTTTATAATTTTGAGTTCCAAATTCATTCTCACCCTTCCTCCTCTCCTCCCTCATTGAGAAGGCAAGCAATTTGATAAAGGTTATACATATGCAGTCATACAAAGCATTTCCATATTAATCATGTTGTAAAAGAAAACACATACCACAAGAAAAATTTTTTAAAAGTTTGCTTCAATCTGGATTCAGATTTTATCAGTCCTTTCTCTGGAGGTGGACAGCATTTTTGATCATAGGTCCTTCAGAACTTTCTTGGATCTTGGTATTGTTGAGAATAACTAAGTCACTTACAGTTGATCATTGTACAATATTGCTGTTACCGTGAACAATATTCTCCTGGTTCTAAAGCAGGGTAATTTCTTAAACAGGGAATTACCAAAATAGAATCTGAGGCCATCCAGGCCAACAACAGTTCTTGTGAACTAATAGGTCAGATGTAACAACAGGTAGAAAATGATGGAAGAGAGAACTACAGAAGATGCAGAACTCTAAAAAGGAAGAAGCCAATGTGTCAGGAAGATATTTGGAGTAAGCCAGAGTAGACAGCTATCAGGAACATTAAGATTCTGTATTCATTGGCTGTGAAGAACTTGGACATGAAATTTTCAAAAAGATTAAGAAATTTAGTCAAAGATTAAAGATATGTGGGGACTATAGGCCCAATATCACAAAGTATTCTTTAGAGCTGACATTAACCAGTACCAACATTTACAATTAGATGCCAAAGAATGGACAATTCTCTTTTAATATAAAACTCTCAATTATTCAAACTAATGTAGGACAATATTGGCATGACTAATTACAGTCCAGAAAAATGCCAGGTTTGGGGAGTAGCTATGCCTTAGCCACATCCCCTTCTCCTGCCCAATAGCTTTTCCTTTCTTTTCTGTCCCTTCTCTTGAATCTCTCTTACGTAGAAATTTCTATTCTTAGAACCTTTCAATCTAGAAATGTTCAGGTTTTTTTTTCCAACTGATTGGCATCTCCCCACCTGTGACCACAAGGTGAGAAATCAACTAGATTCATCTGGGCAGGACCGCTCCCTTCTTGATAAAACACTTGAGTGGCCCTGATCTCCAAGATGTCCTGAAGCAGAGAGAGAAGTTGGCACCAAGATTTCGCTTCCAAGACCATTATGGATTCTTTCCCACCATGACCTAAAGACTACCATGCATGGGACTCCTTGGCAACATTCCTGGTTACAATTCTTCTATGCCCTTCCCTATACTACTTTGGCAGTATCAGTCCTGGCTTCACTGTGTGTGGTCAGCAGAGCCCCTTGGCTTTGGGAC